CATGTGCCTCAAGACACAAAGAACAGAAACTCTCCATCTCCCAGGAGATGCTCTGCAGGGGCAGGGATGGACACCATGGGCCTAGGCCTGGGCCTGGGGGCATGCGATACATCGTTGTTACATGAACACCTGCTGGAACACGAGCTTGCTTGCGGTGATTTAAAGTTCTAGAACAGTGCGGCAACTTTTTATGTGCCCCAGAATTAATCTGCAATTCTGTCATTCTTTTTAAATGGTTTTTTTTGTCTTTTTTAATGCAGTCCAACTACATCATGAGTTAAACCTAGACAGGGCACATGCCCTCTAATTAGTTGGCCAATACATGAGTCTCAGGACTACCTGAAAGGTTTGTTTTTTTTTCTAGAAACTACTGTCTTAGACAATTAAAGGGAGGTTGACTAGCTGTTGGAAATCAAAAACGAAGTCCAATGAGACCAACAGCTTCACCGGTAGCTGTGTAACCTTGGTCATATTTCCTTTTACTCACTGGGCTGTGCACAAACATTTTGCTAATCCTCCCTCACTAAGAGATTCCAAAGACGATGGCATGTTTACATTGAATCTTACATTCTAAGTGCATCTTAAAAGCACTCTATGTAAATCAGTACAAGATTGCATTGGTGATCTTATTCAATTCCTGTGGAGGTAGATAGACCAACCCTGGCACAGCCTGGAGGGATTAGCAGATTTTTAAATATGGTAGAAGCCCTAAGAGACAGCTGTGGACTGACCTGGCATGTGTGAGTGTACTGCATTTTAGGGCCTCTTGCGTTTAAATAGGTGCACCAATCTCAGGGGTAACAGGATCGTGTTAGGATATAGATTCTGCCTCAGCAGGTCTGAGCCGGCCCCCAGGAGTCTACATGTTTAACAAACTCCCAGGTGATGCCGATACTGCTGGTCCAGGACCACAAAAGAAGTCACTCAGGGTATTAAAAAGGCTTTAAAAAGTTAGGGTGGCCAAACTCCATTTTGGTAGTGGTGATGTGTTTTCCTGAAATTCTACTCTCTATTATTACATCAGTCTTTCAAGTGAAAACAAAGCCGCTCTTACAATGTACAACTGCCCCGGACTCATTTCTGTGGGGTCCTCACATGCTCTGCACTCTGATCAAATCACGAGCCTGTCTGGTTCCGGGGGCTTCCTCCAGGCTCTGGAGCTGGGCTAGTGAGGCAGCCTTTCTGACCCAGGGAAGCAGCAGGGAAGGTTCCCTGCACTGGGGCAATGCCTGCCTCTTGTCAAAGGTCGGAGGCTGCCAAACCAGCTGGGTCTTTTGAAAACCCAGTCACCAGCTCACCATCCATCCTTGGACTCCGTCCGACTTCACAGCACAGGGCGCGTCCGCCCCCCTGACATTCGGCTGACACTGAAAGCTCAAGAGGAGACGCCCAAGTCCCGTGGCTTCTCACTGCGTGGACTGTTCCACAAGGCAGCAGCGAGGTGTCAGTGCGGCCTCTAGACAGCTGAGGAAAGGCTGTTTGGATCCTACCCTGTGAGCATTGAGTTGGTGGTTATGTTAAATTGGGAACACATGAATCAGTCAGAAGCGAGAAGGTTAGGGGGCCTGCAGAGGCCATGAGACACCCAGAGAGGCCTACAAAACCAGCCCAGGCGCACAACAGGAGGGGCCTTCAGAAACCCCCGGGGGCCCGCCGCCCACCCTGCCTCAGCCAGCAGCATCCTAATGCTGCTCCTGCTCAGACGGGCATCCCGAGCCCTGGCTCCGAGGTGCGTTACCGATTTCTCCCGGAACGTGCTTGCCGTGGAAGCGGAAGCAGGCAGTGACGTTCAGGCAGTTCACCGGCTGCAGCCCGTCCTGACACTGAGGGGCCGTGATGTTGATGGAGGCCGGAAGGAAGATGGAGACGTCCACGGTAATGACGGGCCTCGCCCTGTGAGTCGAGAGAAGAAGGGGGGTTAGCTGTGCTGAGGGGCGGCTTGCGGAACCAAACACAGACTTCAAGGGCAGGATCCTTGCCGAGAGCCCCGCAGCCACACAGGAAGGCCTGAACCTTTACCAGAAACGGGTTGATGTGCCCCGTGCATACTTCTCCTGGTTTTGGAAGTAGCCTGTTTCCTACAAAATGAACATGCAACTTCACAAGCATAAAGCCAAAGTCAGTTGTTAATAAAAGCCCACCTGGCTGTAGCCATAAATGAACCACCAGATGTTGGGGGGTTGTTTAAAATTTCACCCCATTAAGTTCCCAGTTCCATTTTATTAGGAAGATGTGAGTATGCTTAACAAAAATTTCTACAGCACGATTCCAGAAAGAGATGCCTGTTCAGAAAAGCGCCAACACATGGGTTGCCATTGTAAGCGATTCCAGAAAGAGATGCCCGTTCAGAGAAGCGCCAATGCATGGATTGGCGTTGTAACCATGAACCGCCAAGTCCCAGGTCTGTGGAAGGGGTCCAATGCCTCCCGTCACGTACTGCTAACAATTTCCCTGGTCTTTCTCCAGGAGAACTTGATCCATAGCACTGAAGCAAAGCTGCCAGTCCTGAAACCCACTTAGGGTTTCCAGGGACTCATTCTTTTTCAAAAGTCGACTGCTAGCCTTTCCTTCCTTCCTTCCTTCCTTCCATAGCACCTCTGGGTGGACCCCCATTGCCACCCTGTGAGTTAGCGGCTGAGTGCATTAACCACTGGTTTGAACTGCCCGGATGCTCTTAGGTAATGGAGTCCCCACTGATCACATCAGAGCATTTCACAGCTGAAGAAATCAACTCTCCCCGCCACCCAGCCTTAGTACTAAATGAACCCCAATGCAGAGCCACACACTTGTCCCCGACATGGGCCACCTCCCCAGGCAGGGTGTGCTGGACAGGCACCATGAAGACCAGAGCTTGGCAGGGGCTGCCCCAAGGCATCCGACACAAGGGGACAGAGAATAGCCCCACTTTGCTCCCACTGCAAACACCTGCTCGGGCAAGTTTCACCTAAGCTGCGACTGGACCTGCTCCCCCTACCCCTGCCCTCACAAAGAGATCCTTTCACCTCTAAGGGCCCCTGGCCTTCACACCCCTGAGGGGACATAATGAGATTAAGGGGCATTAGCAGCCTGAGCACAATGACCTCTCTGTGTGCGCCGTTCCCACAAAGAGCAGCCTCAGGGGTGACAGGACAGGGCAGATGGGAATGACAATGGACAGCCAGGGAAGAGGGCAGGGAGGAAACCCTTGGTGAGAAGGAAATGAGGGGACAGTCCACACAGATGGGGCTAGGTGAGGTCACCACTCCGGCCCCTGCTGGGGCCATGGATCCTGGAGCGACTGTGGAAAGTAGGCAGGAGCCTGGGCGTCTCCCGGCAAGCCCAGCTGTGCACCCAGTGGAAGCCGGACAGTGGTGCCTGAAAGAAGTCCAACATCCTGGTTGGTCTTGACCAGCGCTTCTGAACCTGTGGATCACGACCCCTTTGGGGGGGTCAAACCTTTCACAGGGGTCGCCCAATTCATAACAGTAGCAAAACGATAGTAGTGAAGTAGCAACAAAAATAATTTTATGGTTGGGGGGTCACCACAACGTAAACTGTATTAAAGAATCGCGGCCTTAGGAAGGTTGAGAACCACTGTTCTTGAAACACTCTCTTTGGATTCACTCTTCGAGAAGAGGGAATAACTGAGGCAGTGGATGGTCTGCCCCCAGTCAATGCAGGGGTGAGACCCTTGAGTGCGCCTCTCCAGCGCGCCTGCCCCCACACAGTCCACCGTTGGATCGCCTCTCTCTCCGGTGACCAGCAGGGAACTCACACCTCTGACCACACTCGCTGAAACCCGCTGCCACCGAGAGTCCATTCCAACGCGTGGTTTCTGAGACTGGGCATCTTTATTTTACAACCTCTTCCTTCTCTCTTGGAGTCTCTGATGGGCTTGAACTGCTGACCTTGCATGCTGAACAGTCAACGCTGAACTCACAGTGCGACAGAGCTCCCTACACCTATGAAGGTGAACAGCAACGGTCAGCTTCCAAACCTGCCCTGCCAGCCGGCAGTCCCCTCGGAGCTGGGACCAGGGCGCATTTATACTGACGTTCCCAGGATAGTTTCTTCCTGTTTTCTCGCTGCCACACAGTCGATGCTGACACACGGAGACCCTACAGGACAGGGCAGAACTGCCCCTGTGGGTTTCTGAGACCGTAACTCTTCACGGGAACAGAGAGCCCCATCTTTCTCCCACAGAGTGGCTGGTGGTTTCAAACTGCCAACCTTGGGGATCGATGCCCAGCGTGTTACCAGTAGATGGTCAAGATCCTAGCTAAAGCGGTGCTTTCCAGCGCAGACCTGAAGACTGAGCCCCAGAGAAGCACCTAACTGTCTCACACAGGCTTAGATACCAAGCAGTTGGCCTCTGATTCATCCACGCCACCCCCACCCCCCACTACCTTCACCCTAAGAGAGCCCCAGCCTGCCCAGTCCCTGGCCTGCTGAGAAGACATGTCCATCCCATCACGTCACCTCAGGGGCCACCTCACTGGGGAGGACCCCCAGTTTCTCCCTCAAAAGAAGGCCGTGCAGAAGATGGAGTGAGCGGCAAACAGGCAGGCAGTCCCGACCAAATGACCCCCGTGAAGGTTGTTAAAATAGAACCCTTTGAAATGGCCAACAGGGCCCCTCACAGCCATTGCTCGCTCTGACATCCGCCACATCAGTGCCCTCAAACCCATCTCTTCAACACCGAGTGTTGTTCTTGGCCGGGGAAAGCCCAGAAATCTCTCACCGGCCTTTCTCATCACTTCCTTTGACCTCCAAAGGCAGAGCATCAGGCACCCATCACCTAACACAGGACGGCCCTCCCTCCTGAGCTCAGAGCTTGGCTGAGACAAGCACACTTCCTGTGGGCAGGGCTGGGGCCGGCCGCACTCCTGCGTGTCACACGGCCCCACATGTACCTGCCAAAGGGCGCCCAAGGACAGGACAGACCGGGAGTGCTTTTAAAGCTTGTTTGAAAAAAAGCCGGTGGCTGGCCTACTTCTTTCTGATGGCTCTGGAGCCTTGAAAACCCTGGCATCGTGCTTCCAGGTGGGTTATACAACATGCCAGCAGCACTCGGACATGCTGTTTCTCTAGTCACGTTGGCCACCTGCAAGGTGGGTGCTGCCTGCAGGCCGGAGACACAAAGAAAGAAGAAAAGAGGCTGTTGAACCACCTCCGGGGTCACCGACTGCCAGGGAGCCAATTCACGTCTGTATCACTGAAAGCTGCTCTCGGTTCTGTAAGATTGTCTCTCAGCGGCAGCCCCGAAAACCTTCCTAACCTGCACATTCACTCGGGGCTCGCTTCCTTGCGACACTTAGGAATAAGTACAGAGGGGACAGGTGGGTGTGCATGTGTGTGTCTCCTCACCTTCTCTCACCTGATCCCACCCAAACCCCGAGATAAGGCAGACAAGAACTAACCTGCCTCGCCGCTGTGGGGTGGCAGGGAGCTCAATCAGCGGAAGGCTAGCGGGCTGCAGCCTGTTGACTGATGTCACTCAGCGTCCACCTGCCTCACCCGGCAGATCTGGCCTGGCATCCTTCCCTGGTTCCTCCATGCCCCCTCCCCGAAACCGCCCCTCCACCTCCAACCCCCACTCTCCCAGAGTCCCAAGCCCTCCTGGGAGGGTTCAGATGTGGTCACCCTCAGCTTCACCCCTCATCCACATTCCAGCCTAAGCCTCGCCCTGACCGCCTTCCTGCCCCTTGAGATGGGGCTCGGGAGAGAAGGCCCCTTCCACACCCCTAATCTTTGCTCCAGATCCCACACATCCCACCTCCCGTACCCCACCCCCGCCATGTCTCCTCAGCTGCCCCTTCCCCTCGTCCACACTGTGGTCCCCGAGCGCTCCTCCCTGGAGCGCCTGCACTGAATCATCTGCCAGTCCCATCTGCTCCCTTGTTGCCAAGCTTCCGCCAAGGCAGTCAGGATCCACCGTCTGTTTTCTGGCTCCTCCTCTCCTCCACCACCCACAGGGCTCTGCCTCTGGCCCCATCACTTCTCCAGAGCCACCCCGGCCCAGCGACCTTCCCACCAAAGGACAAAACGCAGCCTCCACCCTGCCTGCCCCTCTCTGCTGCTTGATGCCACTGCCCTCCACCACGGGACCATGCTTTCACATCCTCGTGTCCTTCAGCACGATCTGGGGCTGCCCGCCTTGATTTCCTTATAGATCCAATTGGGGATGATATAAATGAGGATGATGACCTCTCTGGGTGGCACAGTTAAGCGCTAGCATACAGAAAGGCTGGCAGTCTGAACCCACTCAGACTGCCTGGGAAGACAAGCCAGAGATCTGCTGCGGAAAGGTCTCGGCCTAGCGAGCCCTCTGGCATCGTTCTACTCTGCACACACGGGATGCCTCCAGGAGTCGGAATCAACCCAAAGGCAACCAGTAACAAAACAAACATAAAAGCGCCTATTTGCAGAGTGGTTATGAAGATGAAGGGCTGATATCCCATCATCCTTTAGTTTTACATTCTCCCACAGGCTTTCTGAAGGCCTCTCCTAGGTTCCGTGGATGAACCAACCAACCACAGTACAGACAGCGGTACCTAGACCCTACTCAGTCATAACATCAAAGAACACAGCGGCACGGGTGAACGGAGACACAAGATAGCAAGTGAGCGGAGCCAGAAACGAGCGTGCATATTGCGCAATCCCGTCTCCATGGAGTTCTAGAACCAGCAGACCAGACCCACGGTGACCGAGACGAATTGGGCTGGCCTGCCGAAGAAGGGGCATGGTTAGACAGAGACCACAGGAAGCTTTCTAAGGTAATAAAAAAAACACACAAACATTCTTTATCTTGATGAGCAGGGCAGTTACTCCGTGACTGGTCAAAACGCATCAAACCACGCTGAAATGGGTGCATGTTGTTGTACGTAAATTATACCTGAACCCCAAAAGGGAAGGGAAAAGACAGGCAACAAAGAGTTAACATACATCGAATGCCTTACACAGGTTGTGGCACTCACTACACTGTAGTCACACTGTAATGTACTTATCTCCCCTGGCCTGAAATACGGGGCCTTGGATGAGGCAGCCTAAAGGTCGGCGGTTTGAACCCCCATAGTAAGAAGTGCAGCTTAAGAAAAGCCTGGAGATCCGTTTCCATCAAAATAACAGCCAAGAAAACTCGCAGAGGGTCTGCAGAAGCCAAATCAACTCTCTGGCACGTGATTGACTTGGGCTTGCAGGGGCTTGGGTGGAGTTGGCTAGAACAGAAACCAGGAAGGAAGCCTGTGGTACTCTCCACTGTATCCCCAAGATCTGACACCTACTGGATCTCGATGGGTAAATGTGGGTGAGTATTGGCCGAATACGTGACAGATGGGTCCCTGGGACCACACAACCGCTGCACGCTCCCCTGCTCCCGCCCCGACCAACCATGCTTCTCTGCTTTCTTGTGCGCGCACGGGCACCTGCCCAGGCTCTCCCCCACCCCTCTTCTCTCCACACCTGCTCTCCCCGACACTGTCCTCCACAGACCTCCCCGTCCCTGGTAATGTAAGGTGACCAGATTTTAACATTGGTAAAGCGTGGTACCATTAACAAAACTCGTATCCTGGTGAAATAGCCACAGGGCAGCTCCCCTCCTGCCCGGGCTGGGACCTGGGGTCGCCCATCCAGCGCTTTCACTCCCCCACGTGTTTACACTAAGGTGACCAGATGTCCCCCTTTTGGCGGGCAGTCCCTATTTTTAACCATTTTTCCCCCGCGTCCCGCGGCATTTTTAAAAAGTCCTGATTTTTGGAAAGAATGCACGACAAGCTAGGCTATACGGTTTTCGGCTGCCATGTGGCTATTTCGCCAGGATATGAGTTTTAGCAATGGTGTTCCGCTTTACCAGTGCTAAAATCTGGTCACCTTAGTTTACACTCACGCACGGGTGAGGTGAGTGGTAACAGGCTCACCTGCTCGCTGTCAGGCTGGAGGCTCGAGTACGTCCAGCGGTGCCTCAGAAGCAAGGCCTGACCATCAGGCCCAGCCACTGAAAGCCCTTCTGTGCGCAGTTCGACTCTGGCCTGGGGTGGCCACAAGCTGGACTGGTCTTGATAGCAACCAACAACCACAAGAGCCAAATTCTGGAGAAGGCTGTTCCTCGTCGGGATGGGAAGGGGGTGGGGGATGCCCCTTTGGATTGGAGCTCATTGCCCTGCCCAGTTTATAAAACACGAATCATGAGCTTCTCTATGATGGGCTTCCAGCCAAGTGCTACTCACTGGTTTAGCAGCGCCCATTCCCAACCCCCGGAAGACCAAGACTGTGTTTCCGCTCAGGAGGGATAGCGGCAAACCAGAGTGAGGTGCAAAGGGTGGTGAGTCGTCTACAATCGCAGTGTGAAGGCAGCAGCAAGGACCACCCGCTTTACCTCTGAACTGTATCCCCCTGAGCCAAGAAGGCGGACTCCCTTGAAAGCGAGGCTCTCAGGGAAGGGAGCAGGCTGGTAAGGAAAGTAAGAACCCAGGCACCCGGAGGAATAAAGGAAGGGCCCGGGGAGGCTTCACTACAGCAGTCACCTCCTGGGGGACACAGACAGCAGAACTCTGCCAGCTGCCGTTGCGAGGACACCCACTGGGGGCAGCCCTGCGGTGTCTGAGTGGAATTGGGTGCCAAGGGGCCCTCCCCTGGGTTGGCCAGAACCTCTTGCTGAGCACGAAACGGCTTGTGACACCCCCGGGGGGCAAACTTACCCCAATTTGTGTCAGAGTTGCTGAAACGGGTACTGTCCTAGACGTGTGATGTGAGTTGACTCATTCGGTTCTCAGGAGAACCAGATGAAGTTAAGAATTGTTTAACACATGAGCATCCAGAAATGGGGAACTTCTCAGAGAGCTTGCCTAGAAATGGCCCTCCGTGGCTTGAACCCAGGCCAACTGGCCCAGAGTTCCCGCTCCTCACCTCCTGGGGGTCAGTCCAGCCTCCTCGACCCCCATTCCATGTCATAGTTAGAGTTCTCTGGAAGTCCAGGCATATCCCTAGTTATTAAGCCCCCACTCATAGGGACACCCCCCGCCAAAGTGAGGCTGTGTGGCCCCAAAGTGGTGGCCCAGGAAGAAGCACTGCTGAATGAGGAGAATCTGGGGGGTGGAAGTCCATGCCTCTGGGACCACCGCTTCCAGCTCCACGCTCTGGCTGCTTCATTTCAGAACTGTCTGCCATGGGGTTATTAACAAAAGCTAAGAGCTGGCTCCAAGTGGAATTCTGCCACCTCTGACTCACACAGTTGGAAACGCTTGAAGATGGTTCTCGGAGGGCTTGGCGAGCCCCAGGGCCTTTGCAGGAGAGAGCTCGGGATGCCTGAACTTCAACAAGCCCTGCATTCACGACTATCCAGTCTGAGGGGGAATGGGCAGCCACTCTAGGTCTGTGGGGTGTGGGCTAACCACAGCGCAGGACCACCACTGGATACTGTGGGGGGGGCCGATGCACCATGAGGAGACAGGGTGTGGGGACAGGTGAAGAGCTAGGAAGTGTCTCTCTGCCCCTTTGGTGTTGTGGCCCCTACAGAGATTGCTTTGTAAAGGACATCCATGCAAGGGGCTATCCATGGACAAAGGAGCAACCTCTAGGGCTCAGACCACCCACCCACCCAGCCCCACACCCCCGGGCCCTGCCTGGAAGCCTGAGCAATGCTATCATGTCCTGCCCGTAAACCATGTGAGGCCCATCAGGTTCACCTCTGGGATCGAGGGTGGCAAACAAAACTGCGAAAATGAAAGTCACACTCCTACCTCCTGCCTGCAAGACACGGGACAGAGGGAAGAGCTGACGGATGGTGACCACCGCCCCTGGGTGTCCGCCCCTCAGCCATGAAGGGTGTACTCCCAGAAGCACAGAGGAAGCATCTCACCTGAGAAGGACCACGCTGTCCGACATGAAGGCTCCGAAAGTTACATCTGAAACAAGAAGGTCACAGCATTCAGAGACTCGCTGAAGCCTGTCTCCACCCACCCCACAGCGAGGGGCAACGCAGCAAGGGAGCCCGCCCTGCCGTCCAGAGCCTCCGACAGCCATTCTCTGGGCTATATACGACCTAAGTAACCATTAGAGCTGCGCGGTGTACGGATGGCCACCCATCAAAGTATAAAATGCACACTGGGTCTCAGTGATCGAGTGCCCCAAACAGGTTAACTTTCTCGGGAATCATTTTTATACTGACTGTGTGTTGAGGTGACCTATTGGCTTCCCTGATCAGCATTAGGCCATGGAAGCATTATTGAAATGAATTATTAAGTATTATAAAAATTAATCCTCTCAAAATTAATTTTACCCGTTTCCTTGAACTGTTCCGTGCATGTACCTGGAACTTAAGCCACACGCATGGCTCACACTGTCTTTCTCTTGGCCAGTGCGGAATGGGAGAGAGGCAAACTGGAATTGAAGGACACCTGGGAAAAGCTCAAGGGTCTGTAGAGCACCTCGCTGCTCCCCCGCTCACCCGATGCACCCTGAGAGTCACTTGGCCTCCCATAGCTTCCTTGTCTGGAAAGTGGGGATAATTATCCCCCTCAGTTTCGTCCAAGGACACTCTGGCGGTGCAATGGTTAACTAAGCATGCAGCTGCTGACTGAAAGGCCAGCGCTTTGCATTTACCACTGGGTCCTCAAGAGAAGAGCCCTGGTTGTTATCAGGGGCCATGAGTCAGTTCCAGCTCACAGGGACCCTACAGAATGAAACACGGCCTGCCCTGGGCCACGCTCACCATCACTGTCTGTGTCTGAGCCCCTTCATTGTTGGAGCTATGGTAACGATCTGTCTCCTTGGGGTCTGCCTGCTTTCCCTTGACCTTCCACTTGACCAAGCATGATGTCCCTCCCAATGACATGCCCCTTACCTATGAGTCAATAAGGAGACTAAGTCTCACTAACCTCTTCGCTAAGTAGCATCCCAGCTACATGCCATCCAGGACAGATTCGTGTGTAAAGAGAAACCCTAGGAAAAGCCCAAACATTCAAATCACTGCCGCTGAGTTGATGCCAACTCACAGCCACCCTGTAGGACAGGGTAGATCTGCCCCTGCCGGTTTCCAAGACTGTAACTCTTTATGGGAGTGGAGAGTCTTTCTCCCACTGGCTGCTGGTGGTTTGAAACTGCTGACTTTGCAGCTAGCAGCCTGACGCTAAACCACCGTGCTACAGAAAGCCCTAAGGGGCCTTCTATGACTGGGAGTCAGAACTGATTCCACAGCACAGGACAACCATCTTTTCCAAAAGCCGATATTTAAATCGGGCTACCATCCGTGAAAACGCTTGGTAAACGATCAACCAAGGGCATAAGTGTTAACTAGCACAGTAATATTTATTCCTCGATACCTTTTGTTTCAGAAGTAGTCACCGCCGAGCTGCCATAGAAATGTCTGTAAGCGCCACCCTACGGATGCTCAAACCCTTCACGCCACAAGACTCTATTGCTGCCTTCCTCCCCCACACAGCAGTCCCTCTGACAGTGCCGAGGCTCCGCTAAGCCTGCACAGAATCAAGCGTCTGAATCCACAACTAGGACTTCGCAGCCACCCAATGAGATCCCGCAGAGGAGGCCCTGATGTGCAGCTGCTAAAGCTTCTGATTGTGGATGTGCTGGTTATCTTTCAACCTTCAAACACGGACTGGGTAGTTGAATCTTTTTAACCTGACTCATTTGTGGTCCCCCTATGGACAAAGCACGGTAGGAACGACAGATATGAGCAGATCTGTCCCCGATCCACAGAGAAGCAGCCAGACTACTGAGAAGCCTGGCTGGAGGCCCACCACAGTGGGTCTCAGCCCCCTTTCCCCTCGGCTCCCCTTGTCTATAAAGGGAGACCATAGCCCCATCCGTTCCTACCTACCAACAAGATTTACTGTAAGATGTGCATTGCAGATGGAAGCAATTTGCACATATTAACGTGCTAATCCAATATAAGGTATTATTTCTTGGTGACCGTGAATGGCCCAGAACTGCCTTCTCAAACACAAAAAGACCCGTGAGGATCTCACTTGGAACTAACCCGTCAGCACAAGCCCCCTCTCCCCAGTCCTGCTCCCGGCCCTGTAAAGAGGGGATGGAAGCTCGCACCTTAACCAACGCAGACTCAGGTCCTTCCACGGCACGGCATTTGTTTTGCCCAGACCTGTCCAAGGCATTTCCCGTGGAAAGAGAGCTTGTCTCCAAAGGCAGGTTGACCTCTATTTTCCGGGAAATTGTTTCTTTTTCCGAGTTCTGTAATGCTTTGAGCTTCTCTTGAGTTCTGATCTCTGTGTCCCCACCCCACCTCTCCAGATACCTCCGGCACCAGGATGCCACTGCCACGGCAACGTGACCTAAACCGGATATGACTCCGGGTTGGAGTTTGAAATCATACATTTTTATTCAATTAGCCTGGAGGGCCACCAGGCATTAATTAACTCTGAAGACAAGCCAGCCAGCTTTGAATGGTAAGGGGCACTTGGCTTGTTTGACTGCCTGTCAGCTCTCTCTCCGCTTTCTGGGGGGAGGTGGGGTTTAGCTCCTCTTTCCCTCTCACTCCACCAGGAGTGGGAGCCTCTACGATAGTGAAACACCAAGGGAAGTGAGTTCCAAGTGCCCTGCATCTCCTTCTGAGCTGTACCTTTCAAACGGACAACACCTTTTTCTTCGTTAGAAAGAATTACTGCGGCAGAACTTTCTGTGTAGTGCCCTTCACACTAGATCATTTTAAATCCCCAGATAAACTTGCCCTGGTATTTTTCTCTTAAAACCAAATGCAGGGCAACACACTCCTATACTGGCATAGGAATTTTCCTAGGCTTAAATGGATGTAATGCTGACTGAACAAACTGGACATTGTTCTACCACCAGCATTTATCTTAGGTTATCTCGTGTTACCTTGAAGAAAAACAGCTTACCAGGGTAGCCGTTCCCATCCATATCAATGCCCCCGGATATGGACTGGCCAAACATCCGCAGAACTGGATTTATCTTCCGCCCAGACAGTTTCTGAAACAGATCACAGGGAAATTGAGTTGCCAGAAGAGGTCACAGGCACAAATAAAAACCCGTGACCCCTGTATCCCAGCTTCCCTGGGACACTTGGTATTGAAAGTACTGAAAGACAGATTTAACTCTAAATCAATAAAAGAGGGAGATCATTCTAGCAGACAGGTAAAGAGTACACACGCCTTTGTTAGTCTCCGTCTTTGCCGAGTGGTGTCATTCAGAAATTGTCCCAAGTTCTACCTAGACTCATGGGACCAAGTTTTGTCCCATGTTGAAGTTGGAGTGAACACAGCCTATCTTCGGTTTCTGGCGAAGGTTCTCTGTTTAGTCAGAGCTAACACCTGTGTCTCTGACTAGAATGCTAAGAACATATTTGCCTGATCTCGTGCAATTCCGATATTTACTACATATTTCACACACCCCTCCTAAGAAGCACTCTTGAAGGGTCTTCCCTAGATAGTCAAATAATTAACCCACCAAGCCGGAAAAGATGACCATGGGGAAACTGTCTCTCAAACAAGTCAACTAGAGGAGAATCTACAGGTTCTGAGAATTTTCTCTCTCTCTCTCTCTCTCTCTCTCTCTCTCTCTCTCACACACACTCACACTCACACACTCTTCCATCAAGTGAATTCCAAGGCGACCTCGTGTATTACGGAGTCGAACTGCTCCATAGATTTTGTTGCTGCTGTCGGGGTAGGGGGTGGATGTAGTGGTGGGTGGTGGTGGTG